CGTGCGCGTTCCTCGCCACACTCAGCCTCAGCATACTTACCAGGCGGAATCGTGAAGGCATCTAAGAGCCTGGCAGGCATCCTGCGGGCCTGGGGCTGGCTGTGTCCCGCGCCCCGCTCCTCCCAATCTGCATTTTTTTTTTTTTTTTTTTTTTTTTAAGAAATTGAGCTCCGCTTCTTTTCCCCACGCGGGGAAGAAGGAACGGTTACTTTCTTTACTGCTGTTCCTCCTCTCATCCCCTTGTCCCCTGCCCAGCCACCTTTCTCAGTCCGGAATTACCTAGAGAAAGCTCCACGTGGCTCCTTGGGTTACTGCAGGCCCCGGCCCAGTCGCGAGTCTCTCCCTTTCCCGCCAAAGTGCGCTCTCCAAAGCCCAGTTAGCCGCTTGCTTTTGTCCCCTTCCCTTTGCCCAGCTGGGAGGTTTACGAGTCCGAATTTCAATCTAGAACCGCCTGGGGAGTGCCGGAAACAGAGGTTTCCGGAGACACGTGCTGAACACTGGCAACGGGAGGTTGCGAGAAGGTGTTTAGCCAGGATAGCACCGAGAAGAGGCTGTGTCATCGGACAGAAGGGGCGCCCGGCATCTTTGGACAAAAGACTACTTCAAATCTCTAAGTGAGGGGTACTTGGGGCTCAAGGGGAGCCAGCGGAGACAGAAAGTTAGAGGAAAAAACAGAAGAGCAGCGTGGACGTGATCGGAAAGACGTTTGAACAAAGCGCCCCCATCACTCCTCCAACATAACCCCTGTCTCAGGCCGAATCAAACCCAGGAGAGCCCTCCTTCCGGGGCATTCCGTTCCGTGGCCAGTTCGCTGGGCGCTCCCAGGAGTCTCAGTTTCAGGGGTATTTCCCTCCTTTTTTTTTTTTTTTTCTTTCATCTCCTGGAAGAGCGAGGCCACGGAGGAGTTTAATCACCCCTTACCTTTCTGCCCCAAGCTACAAGTCCAGAGAAAGCTCAGAGGGTCTGATTTTATTCAGAATCCGGAGCAGAGGGACTTCCTTGAGGAGATACCATGGGGGTACACTTATCCTTTCCCTCTTTCCTACCCCAAACCTTGTCTACCTGCGATCGAAATGGTGCATGAATCGAGTCAGATCTGTCCTTTAAGAAATCTTCCCTGTAGTCCAACTCAATTCTGTGTGAAATACAAAGAAATCACACTGCCCTTATTAGATTAAAATTTAATAAAAACACATTAGGTCCGGTAAAATATGAATGCACGGCTTAAAATTTTAATAGTACATTAGGACCCAGATACAGGGTAGGACAGTGATTTCTCCCCTTGGGATGGCTGCCGGCGGATTTCGGGGTCGTGGGAGGGCGCCTACTGCAGGGACCCCGATGCCGCTGCCGGAGAGCTTGGGTGGAACCTCCAGCGACTCCTGGCCCGCCCAGAGGGAAGCTGGTCACATCTGTCTGCATCTGGCAGCTTATGGGACAGAAGCTATTGTCAAACAAAGAGGCTTGATGAGAAGAAAGGCTTTCCTCATGTAGTCACACATTTGATTCATTTTCATTTCTCTGCTTTTAAAAAATCACTTCTCTGTTTTCAGTTTATTAAGTAGGTCTGTAGGGATGCAGGGGCGCCAGTGCAGATAGCTACTTGGGTATAAGAGTGAATTTTGAGGTCATATGAAGATTTTGAATATTGGGCCGCTCACTCACACCCCTTGAGTCTGTCCCCAACTTTCCATTCTTTAGATGGCCTCCCCTACCTGGACGGCTGGAGTCTTCCTCGGAATGCGGCTTCCACACTCTCTGGAGCACTTTGCAGCAATGCCTGTGGGCAAAACCAAAATGGGTTTTATTGATATCACAATGAAGTTGGTATTCTGGACACTCCTGGAAGGAGACATCGCAAAATTGCAAATCCTGGTGATTAAGGAAGAATGGCATTATCTCTCTATTACAACACAATCACTGCTGTTTGTTTTTCACTATAAGTGGGAAAAGGAGAGATCTAACTCTGCTGTAACGTCCTTTCTTTTTTTTTTTTTAAAGTATGTGTTTTCTAGGGGTAATGGAATACAGGTAAATACACTCAAATTTCTCAGCTACATACTAATTTATCTCAACTTGGCAATTAGAATACAGAGCTTCCCCTTTTTCTTGTCTGGGTTTTAAAGTCACTGAGAAATCTCTGAGAGATTAAAAAAAGTTATAGTAAATTAATTTAATGATATATGGATTTGAGCCATCAGGACTATATTCTCTTGGGAGTTGTCTTGCTTAAAATAGTTTTAGTTGATCAATTCCATATCGAACAAAGTTTGTCCAGTCATTTCAACAGTGTCCTCTTTATTTCATGAATTTACCATACTACCTTATTTACCATATGAAGTGGTGACAAGTGTTTAGCATTTTGGAGATCAGTTGTCAGTTGCTATTAAAATCAAGATTAATTCATATTAACGATATGCATTTCTCAATACTCCCAGGTGACAACATACATTAAAACAACTATTGCAAGTAATTAAGCTCAATGAAGGGGGAGGGGACAGGGAGAGGTTCAAAACACCCCCAAATATTTGATTTTGCAATCCAAGTTCAGCAGACTGTTGCCACAATAATGCTTGGGAAACTCCTCAGGGTTGCTTTTCACTTTACATCTAATTAGGCACCTAATGAAAGAGAAGAATTTTTCCCCATGTGGTTTTTCTCCTTGATATTCTTATGCTTTTATTTAAACACATAAACACACTGTTTAGGAGGTACAATGCTCAAGTTTCTCCTGTGATTCAGTTAGTGTTATAATCTGGGGGGGGGGATGAGGTAGATGTAAGCATTTGTCTTCCTGTTATTTTCTTCCTCCACACTCAATTTAGCCCTATGGCCCTTACACAGTACTGACAGAAAACACACCCCAAATATTTAACTTTATTTAATATTTTTATTAGGCTTTAGAGATGCTCAACAGTTTACACTAATTAGACCATCCAAAGCCTTTTGAAGATTAAGCAAATTGGACAACCCTTGTTAATTAGAACATAATTTGAAGTTTGAAATTATATCATTGATGAAGTAGTCTAATTAGTATGACGATGTGTTAATGGACCAGGGAGACACAGCAACAGTGGAGTTTGGCGTGAACCTCTCCAAGGCTTGCACAAAAACCTTCCCTCCTATACCGACATTAATAAAAGATTTCTATAGACTTCAGCCTTTCCACGATGACATACAATTTATAGTACACACAATGCATTAGCCCATCGTGCTGCTCAATTTTTTCACTATTATGAAAACTAATAAATTCGTCAAGCTGAATTAAGCATACAAATCAGATGAGGCATAGCAGATTACACAGTGAAGCGCGGTGTCTCCCGAGCCTAAATGAAATTTCAATCTAATAATTCCTTCCTGGCCCAGTCATAATTTGTTTAGAGATGTTGTTCTACTTCTTTCAAAGCGCTATTCGCACTATAATTAAATGATACTCAAGCTTTTAACTTTGATTTATTTCATTTCTCGAAGCTTGAGACAGTGAGAGCTGTATAATGTCATTTTTTTTATTTCTTTGAAAATTACCGTAGCTGTTGTCGAGGTAGAAATTAAACACCTAAGCATTTACTTGAATCGTCCAGCGCTAGCCACATTCATTCATGTCAACACCCCCTGTCCAGTCTCATGTCTAGACTTCTCCGGTCTCATGCTCGGGAGCAGTACTGGTAGGAATCTCCATCTGCTACTATTTATTTTACTCCACATAGAGGAGGAAAAAGGCAAGTCTGGGGATAGCGCAGGAAAGCGCAGAGGGGTTAAGGACCGTGGACAGAGCTCGCCGTGCGCCCTTTGCCGCCGCCTTCCCAGTATTCTTTGGCGACTCCGGGCACTGTGCTCCCAACTTGAACCAGCCATGCCACTCGGTTGAGGTCATGGGTGAACCACGGCCCCTGCTCTCTGCAACCGCGGGGCTTCCGGGCGCAGACCACTCGAGGGCCCCTCTTCGCCACGCTCCTTTCCACTCTGTTTTGTCCCAGCGCGCGCCAGCGCCTCTCAGGCCTGCCGCCTGCTCTCGCACCTGCTCGCTTTCCCCAGGCACCGTGTGCCTGCACCTGCTCCCAGTCACCCCAGTCCGGGTCAGGCCACCCGCAGACTCCAGTGTCCGGGTCCCAGGGCCTTCTAACCCTCGCCTATACTCTGCTCCTTCCGCGCTCTGGGGAGATGACAGCAGCCCCTAACATCAAGGGAAGTAGAAGATTGGAGCGGGAAGGAGAAGAGGGTGTGTGTGTGTGTGTGTGTGTGTGTGTGTGTGTGTGTAGGAAAGGTTGTCTCCTGCTTTTACAATCGGAACTAAGAGTGTGTCCACGTCTAAGAAGAGTGGTCCACACTGGGACAAAAGTGCGAGCAAGGTGTTGGCTAAAAATAGGCTCTCTGCACTGAGCGGCTGTGGAAATGAAGATAAGTGGGGTTTGTGCCAACCCCCGAGGGCGTGTGTGTGCGTGTGTGTATGTTGGGGGGGGGTGTGTTCAGCAGCACATGCGCTCTGTGATCTCTGGCCCTGCCTCTCCCTCCATCAGTTGCCCCTTCCTCTTTTGATTGTGGCTAATGAAGAATAATAAAATGAGTGGCAGGATTTGCCAATGCAGCCGCCCAAGACCCAATTCACGCTGAACTTGGATACTGGGAAGAGGAGGAGGAATATCCGGAGGAAGAGAAAAGAGGGTGGAGAGGAGTGCGTGTCGGCTGGCGGGGGGGTAAAGTGGGGGGAAGTAGACAGGGTTGGGGAGGGGGGGAGTCGCATGCGCATAGGCGACCCGAGCTGGCTCCGTGGCCGTCCAATCCGCTGAGAGCTGAGAGAAACCGAGTGAGAGAAAGCCCTGCAGCCCTGTCGTTCGACCCCATGTCTCTTCGGCACCAGGCACCCGCTGGGCCGAGGGGGCGCCGCGCTGAGCGCCAACTGAGGCTTGCACCTGGCGGAAGCGCAGAGCAGCGCGGAGGAGCTGGGTCGGTGGCGGTTTCCGCGAACTCTCCTTCCGCGGGGAGTCGGAGATCGGGGTCACCTGCGCTGCGGGGAGGGGCGGGCCAAGTGGGGGTGGAGGCCTGGAACTTAGCGGTAAGCAGGAGGGGGGAAGCAGCCAGGTAAGACGTTCCTACTAGTCTAGGGAAAAATCAACCCACCCAACGCTGGCTTGCCCTCAACTTTATTTAAGAGTTTCTTTCCCGGAGTGGCGGAGACTAGGCGGAAGAAGCAGGAGGGGCTGGAGGCCGGCTTTTAGGGACTGCCCGGCGACTGGAGCGCAGACCTAGACAGTGGGGTGGGGTTGATCGGGGACACTAAAGAAAGTGAGAGCTGCGGGGCGCCGGGAAGGGGCGGAGGCCTCAACAAGCGGGAGGGGGCCGGAAGGGAGGTGGAGGGCGCAGCGGGGAGAGGGAGGCGGGTATCTGGAGAGCTGAACGGACCCGACTCGGGAGGGAGCAAAGAGAGAAGGGGCGACGCCAGAATCCAAGCAGGAGAAACCGGCACTTACTGGCAAGGAGGGCGGAGGCGCGCGGGAGGGAGGGAGAGAGGGCGGGGGTAGGGGCAGGCTCGGGGAGAGGGGAGTATAACTCAGCGGCCGCGAGGCGCAGGGGCAGTTTCGGGCGGCCAGGTCTGCAGCCAGCTCCTAGAGGAGCCCAGCAAACCCTTAATCTGACGGCGGAGCCAGAGGAGGAGCGCATAGTCCTGGCAAGGAGCACAGAGCTGGGAGTGGTGGCGGGAGAGCGCAACTTTGCACTGCCCTTCCCTGCTCCTGCTCTCACCCAGCACTTCTTAAGAGGGTCCTGGCAGACGGGACCTGTGAGTGCGCTACGGAAGAGCTCCCGGGCGGACCGGGAAGATGATGATGATGTCCCTGAACAGCAAGCAGGCGTTCAGCATGCCGCACAGCGGCAGCCTGCACGTGGAACCCAAGTACTCGGCACTGCACAGCGCCTCGCCCGGCTCCTCCGCGCCCGCGGCCCCCTCAGCTAGCTCCCCTAGCAGCTCGAGCAATGCTGGCGGCGGTGGTGGCAGTGGCGGGGGCGGTGGAGGCCGTAGCAGCAGCTCCAGCAGCAGTGGCAGCAGCGGCAGCAGCGGCGGGGGCTCCGAGGCGATGCGGAGAGCGTGTCTTCCAACCCCACCGGTGCGTATTTCTGCATAATCACCGCTTAAAGGCACATTTTGACAGCCCCCTTTATCTGCTTGATGTTTTTTTCATGTCTGCACAGCAAATCACCCCACACCTCCAACCAATTTCCCCCCTCTCTCTCTTATGTATTCAGCGGGTCTTTTCTTTCATATTAATTTTTATGACCTGGGATGTTGCCTGTGCGCGTGTTGTGTTGTGTTGTTTGCAGGCTCACTTTCCTCCTCCTCGTGCACGCTCGGTTTTTCTGTGACTTCCCTCCTCTCCGCCTCACCTGCTACTTTCAGGATTATTATTATTATTGTTATTATTATTATTTCAACGTTTTGGGAATGTTGTAGACGCGGCGGTGTTGTCGAGCGCTGTGCCGGGGCTTCCGGAGAGAGTACGCACAATTCCCTGCTGAGCGTAATGTGTGCCTTTTACTTGCAATTGCAGAGCAATATATTCGGCGGGCTGGATGAGAGTCTGCTGGCCCGAGCCGAGGCTCTGGCGGCCGTGGACATCGTCTCCCAGAGCAAGAGCCACCACCACCACCCGCCCCACCACAGCCCCTTCAAGCCGGACGCCACCTACCACACCATGAACACCATTCCGTGCACGTCGGCTGCCTCTTCTTCGTCGGTGCCCATCTCGCACCCATCTGCGCTGGCGGGCACGCACCATCACCACCATCACCACCACCACCACCACCATCAGCCACATCAGGCGCTTGAGGGCGAGTTGCTGGAGCACCTGAGTCCCGGGCTGGCCCTGGGTGCCATGGCTGGCCCCGACGGCGCCGTAGTGTCCACGCCAACTCACGCGCCGCACATGGCTACCATGAACCCCATGCACCAAGCAGCGCTCAGTATGGCCCACGCGCATGGGCTGCCCTCACACATGGGCTGCATGAGCGACGTGGACGCCGACCCCCGGGACCTGGAAGCATTCGCAGAGCGCTTCAAGCAGCGACGCATCAAGCTGGGGGTGACCCAGGCCGATGTGGGCTCCGCGCTGGCCAACCTCAAGATCCCTGGCGTGGGCTCCCTTAGCCAGAGCACCATCTGCAGGTTCGAGTCCCTCACGTTGTCGCACAACAACATGATCGCGCTCAAACCCATCCTGCAAGCGTGGCTCGAGGAAGCCGAGAAGTCCCACCGCGAGAAGCTCACCAAGCCCGAGCTCTTCAACGGCGCAGAGAAGAAGCGCAAGCGCACCTCTATCGCCGCGCCAGAGAAGCGTTCGCTGGAAGCCTACTTCGCCATCCAGCCGAGGCCCTCCTCGGAGAAGATCGCCGCCATCGCGGAGAAGCTGGACCTTAAGAAAAATGTGGTGCGTGTCTGGTTCTGCAACCAGAGGCAGAAACAGAAAAGAATGAAATATTCTGCGGGCATTTAGGAGACCCTCGGCCTCTCCAGGGACAGCCCCTCCTCATCCCCTCTTTTCCCTCCCTCTCTCTTTCCTGCCTCTGTTCTTTCCACCTTTGGCTACCAGAAACAATTCCAGTAAATGTGAATAAGGAGAAAGCGAGAATTGGAGAGCGAGCGAACGAGCGAACGAGCTAGCAAATGAGCCCAAGCCCGGTGAGAATGTGAAACCATTTCTCAAAGGAGAGAAAAACAAAAGAAGGGATTAGTCAAGTTGTAGCAAAGTTGTCCCTTTTAACCCCACCCCGTCCGGAAAAGGCACCTCGGCTTCTTCCCAAGAAGTCTGGAGCTGGCTGTTTGCAGAAAGGCAGACGAGACAGCCTTTTAAAAGGCCCCCAAAATGATCAAGTAAGATTTGTTTTTATTTCTAAAGACATCACCCTTGTTCAAGTTTAAAAGTACACTTTGCAGCTATTTTTCAGAAATAGAAATCGATTCAGGACTGAAATTTTAAACTAGAGTTGATGCTTAATGTGATAGAGACATCTCTAAAGTATTTTGAATTAAAAAAAGATGGCAGATTTTCTGCATTTACACTGTATATTATATATATATTTTTATTGTGGTTCTTACCCCCTTCTTCCTTCTCTGAAGTGTTAATGCTTAAGAAAGGAGTCGCGCCTGCTGTGTTCACTGATCTTGAAAGCTATTATTAGATTATTGCCGAACAACCCTCTGTAAATTATTAATTTATCTCTCTAGCAACTTAATTTGTGCACATTCTAATTAATTAAACTTCTTTAGTCTAACAAAGGGGGGAAATGTATGGCTAGTGGAGTTAAACAATTTTATGTTTCATGAGTTCACTGAATTTTTATGGCTTTCCTCTTATACTGTGTTCCTTTGGCCCATTTGTATATTCTCACTTTGAATGATGATTGTTTTTTCTTTGTTTTTACTGGTAGTGTTCTGATTTGTGAGTCAACACTCAGTAATGGATGTCTTAATTGTGTAGACCTGATTCACTGTCTAAAGTATTGTTTACTTTGTTACATATTTAATGGGGATTCCCACATTGTCCCCACTACACATGCTCTCTCACTCACCCTTACACACACACACACACACACACACACACACACGCCTCTAATGGAAGAGAAGAAGTGAAGCAGTTGGAAGCATGACTATGATGCATCATTTTCTAGCTTTAGGTGCATTTGCCACTTGGTGTTTGCCCTTCCAGATGCTAAGATTTCACCAAGGTATTTCAATCATCTTGTTTTGAACTGCTTTATTGACTACATTTTAACATTTACAAGAATCCTTCAGTTTTTCCTTTTGGAGGTTTGTTTGTAGAAAAACTAATCTGAACTATAAGAAAGACAGTGCACTGCTTGTAAATTCACATTGTTTGGTAGAATTCTTTTGGAACAAAAAAAAATAGGTACATGGTGACTGGTACCTTATCTATTGTAAATATTCCATTCAAATGATGCACATATAGATATATTCTTACAAATTTTGCTGTATTGCTGTTCTATTTGAGACTCTTTGAAGTCTTGAGTTCTGTATATGAGCTGGTTTCTTGTTTTTTTTGTTAATAGATGGTTTATTTACTATGGTAATGTATTAAGTTATTTTTGGTGTTGTTTGATTGTCTTTCATTGAAAAGATGATTTTAATGTTTTATTGGCAAAGTATGCTGCTTTTTTCATTAAAATATACTATTAAAATTAAATGGCTTTTAAAATGTGATGCTGTTTTCAGTCATTTACATGGAATTATTTTGATAGGGGATTTTTTAAAAGCAGAAACATTTTGATGGCTTATTATAGAGTTGTTATCATAGTGTGATTTGGAATTTTGTAGGGGGTGTTTCTCCAGGAAGGTGTAAAAGAACAGGGTTTATAATAGTCTTCTAATAGCTAGAGCTCATCTCATGGTGTGCTTTGCTTTTCTGTCCAAGATGAGATTGTGATATTTGGCTCTAAATACATCTCTTGGAATCTCTATTCCAGATCTGCAATAATTCTGCAAAGAGAATCTTTGTGAGCAGAGACATTACTTGAGAAAAGGAGGAAAGAAATTCAGTTTAGTCTTCAGCAACACTGGGAGACTGGGTGTGGCAAGAGGCCTATTTCTGGGAGTAGGACACCCTGGTTTAGGCCTAGGGGCTGGCCCACCATAATTCTCAGTTCAGTCACCAGCCCTGGAGAGCAGTGGCCCAACCAGAGCAGGAAGCACCTCAATTACTGGGTTATGAAATAAAGTACATCTCTGTCTCTCTCTCATTCTCTCCCTCCATTTCCATAACTTTTACACAAACTTGTATTTGCAATAGGCAGTGTGGGTTAAGGAAGAAATTCTGGATGGTTAGAAGGAGTAGACTTTTTGCGCCCTTCCTATCACTCAATCAGACACCAAAGTTGGTGGAATCTAATGGTGGTCTGGCACAAAGAAATTTTGTCCTTTGATATACAGACTTTAAAAATTTTAATCCTGGTTTAAAGATATCTTCTCACGCATTTTAATTTTGATCCTGGTTTAAAGGTATCTTCTCACCCATTTTAAGAAACATATTAGGTTTTCAAAGTTTTCTTTCTTTTTTTCCAGGAAAGCTCTGGTTTAGATATTTACATTGTTAACAACAAGAACATCTTACTAATCTATAGATCCAACAAGAGGAAGGAACCAGGGGATCCTCCAGGGGGAAATTCTGCTACTCTGAGCTGTGACCTAATATGGAACTGTTTGGCGACCTTTCTTATTTTGAAGATAAGGTTAGGAAATGTCCCATGAGTCAATGAGAATTGTTAGAGTGGCTCAAGTTAGGATTAAATGTTGTTAGAGAACATTGTGATGTTCAGATGTAACAAAAATAACTGTGAGAGTTAGTGGATAATAAGTGGAGGGACTTCTTTTTCTACAACTTAATTAAAGAAGACACCAGAAGAGACAGAATCTATGTGTCCATGTAGAAATGATGAGATATATTGTATAGATGCTTAAGGAAATATTGAAAGTTGTAGGGATTTGAAAGAATTGTGAATCCAGATATAGTGATATTGGTGGTTTAATTTTATTCTTATATTTTGGAGGTTGGAAGTCCCTTCTTCTACGTTATTATCTATTCTTAGGTTCAGTTTTCTTGAAGAGTCTTTTCAAATAGCCAGCATTTATCTCACTACACTAGGTCCTGGTTTCAGCACCACGGATAGTAACCACATTACTTTGTCCTATTCCAGCACACATTTGACCAAGCAGTGTCAGCCAGCTGGAGAACTTTCTGCTTTCTTACTTTTTCCAGAGTAAATGAATTAAGTGGCTTGAGTGTGTAGCAAGCCAGGTTTTCTGATTTAGGATTAAACTTATCTTCAATAAATAACACCTTTTCCTATGTAACTGTTATCTAAGTCTAGGATATGTGCCTTAATAGAAAGGGGAGTCATAGAAGAAAGACAGGTGTGCTAGTGTTTTTTTCTACAAATACGACATCTTTAAGTGAAGAAAGAAATCCTGTGAAAGAAGTCAAAATTAAGAAATATATTGAACAAAAATAAAATAGGTATACTTTTAGTGTATTTGAAGTACATGGTAACTTTTGTGTATGCATGTTTGTCCAAGATTTACATGAAAAAAAAAGACATAATAACAGCAACTATCCATTCACATCAACAGTTGAGAGTGAAGACCTGTATTTCCCCTCTCACTCACCAAGTATTTTTTGTCTCCCATGTTCCTGCACTTTTAAAACTGTATAAGTTTTAAGTACATCTTCTCTACATTGTTACAAAGGTAAAAAAAGAAGCTCTCTTGCCTACAAGATGGAAATTATATCCATTATTTAAGCCTACTTAAATGTGTTTGTTTTATGGGAAAATCAGAATTTTAAAAAAGAAATATTCTAAAAGTTTTTATTAATGAGAGTCACAGGGACATATCAAAACAAACCAAAGGAATTTGGAGAGAAGAGGATTGATCTTAAAGAAGAAGTTAAAGGTAAGAACAAAATGAATCTGGTATAAATTATTGAGAAATATTTATTTAGTACTGACTTTCAAAATACTGAAATGGATAGATAGCAAATTACTGCTGAAGAGCCTTGTCATATCAATCAAATCCATTGGCATTAATAACTCATTTCCAAACTTTTCTCTTCAAGGTCCACAATAATTACTACTTAATTAGAAAGAGATATTTTATGAATTGACTTAGCAGCACACATGGTCATCCACAATTTGACATTTCAGAACTATACAATTTATTTCTTAAAACTTCTCCAAAGGCAATTGATCCAATCTTTTTGTGCATTGTGATCATTTAAGTCTAAACAAGAATGAATAAATGTCCAACAACAAAGATCATGTAAGGCCTGGTTGATATCTGAGTACTCTCTACATCAATTGTATTCTGATATTATCCAGAAAGAGTGCAGGTTTCTTTGGATATTTGACATTAAATCAATTGGTCAATTCTTCATCAGATTATGTCTCATTGACACATAGCTTGGGGAAAAATAATGGAAATAAGAAAAAGCAAGTGAAATAATTAGGATTTATGTTCAACATAATGTTCTTCAATTTTCTATAAAACATACTTTAAAATAAATAACAAACATAACTAAGTCTTTTCTCTGTCAAGGACAGATTCTGAGGCCTCTCTTTGCCAAGGGACTTGGAATTTGGGTTGTAAAAATGCTTTATTTCAAATTTTAAATGAATTCATTTTGGTCTATCAGGGACACTCTTGAAGACATGGTAGAAAGGACATTAAAAAATTCACTTGATTTTAAAAGGCATATTGTTCAGAAGATGAAGCTCAAAATTTTCCAAGCAAGCCATGACTGCAAGTTTAGAAATAAACATTTTAAATTATTTGGTGAAAACAATTTATACTCCAGGTAAAAGGTGCACATTAAAACTCAAAACTGTACTTCACTGTTCATTTGGTCTTGGAGGGAGGGGCTGCAACACAAGGCTAAGGAAAAAAAAGTTAGATTGGTGTTCTGATAGGACAAAAAAGAAGACAAAGGTTCCCAGATAGTTATGATGATAGAAATGTTCCTGAAGTCTACATTTGTCAGAAGACAGATTTATGGCAATGAGAAAAAAAAAATCACTAAATTTTTCCTGCTTTGCCCCTTTAAAGGAGCCTTTCACAGTACTGAAAGGCTATTATGAGTGAA